AGCTGCTGCACACATTGATAACAAAAGAGCACTTACTACTTTCCTCACATGCCACATATCAAGTCATCCGACTGCCCAGCTTCAGGAGATGGCTGCATGCATAAATTCTGACTGACATCAACGGTTAGTGTGGCGCTGCGAAATACATAGCCTTCATCTTCACTCCTCATTGGTTGGCCTACGCCGTTAGTTCATTCCCGATTAGTGTAGTTAATTGGCTCGACTGAAGTTGCACAAGCCACATGAATGTGAGTGGCTCGAATTGGCTGACTTGCATTCACCAAAGCATCCACTCATCCTTCTTCTTGCATCACAACACCACAGCTGAATGTGTGGGTGGGTGGATAACATTTCGGCACTGTTATTTTGTGACGCCTTATGTTACGATGTTATGTAAGTGGTAGCGGCTCATCAGCTAGAGGACTTGCGAGCATTCTATGAGTAAAATAACTTGTAACATATGAAGAAAATAGCCTTAGCAAGTATTACACCTTCCAAGTTACAAGGGTATCACAGGATTCGGAACAGAGGTAAAATTACAGAGGCGAAAGTGCTTGTTTACAGAAGACAGGGAGACAGTAACTGCATTTCAATCCGATAATATCAAGTCTTCGGTACATTGGTGGTTGGTGGTTTCATTGACCTGCCTTAGGAGTGACGACTTGAGCTCCCCCAACAAAGAAGTGCCTTCGTAATGGCTCTCCACTGACGACTTATAGAGATCCTCCTGACATTGCTTCACAGTTTGTGAGAAAGAGAAAAGAGAAGGTAGAAAGCGTGGCCTGTAGGCTTGTTTGAAGTGAACAAAATAAACTGTAAACGAACACCTTTTAATGACATGACGTGTTCGAATAGCACGGGCATCACGTGAATTTGGTAGGTGATCTGCCATGTCATTATCGACCTTCTCCCCCAACTAATACTACATGTGACTGCCACATGACATACATGGACACTAACAAACATTCCAAATTAAGTATTTAGGAGAGCTAGAAAACGTTCGAAGAGGAAATTCATATGGTAGTTCTTAAGTGCCATAATTGGCTTAGAGGTGAATAGTGACACCTCTTTCAGGTATTATCAGGATAGTCACTGGCAAAACAAATAGGAATGTGGAGCTATTTTACATTAAGTTTGCAAGGAGATGTACACTTTTGAGTTCACATCAGCTTTACGCAGTATACTGTTACTGAACTTGTGATAAAATGCAAATGAATTTGCTGTCATGCCATCTGCTCTGTCAGTGAAGGATGTGGGGAATCGTAATTACGTGCCAGCATATGGTAGCATGTCACTGCATGAGG